TCCCGCCGACAGTCGAGCGATCGGGGGGTGGTCCCTGAAGGACTCCGGTGGACCGGGACAGACTGCCGCGCACCATCTCCCCCCTCCCGGTGCCAAAGCAACAGGCGCATCCTCTGCCACTCCCAAGAGACCCTGCGGCTGCCTGATGTCTGCGAGGAAGAGCTGCCCCTGGGCGCTGCAGGCCAGCACCGTGGCTTGGTCCAAGAACTCCAGCGTGGCCAGTTCGTCGTGGCTGGTGGAGGCTGTGGGGAGAGACCACAAGAGGGAGTGGAGGGGCAGACCGGGCAAAGCCCGGCTCAGTTCTGTCCAATGTGCCCTCTAAGCTGTGGAGTCTTGTGAGCAAAAATTCTACTTGGTGAGCGACTGGCATTGAAGTTCCGAGCCAGCGATTGAGCCGCCGCATACATTTATTTTATTTATTTATTTATTAAATTTATACCCTGCCCTCCTAGCCACGGCCGGCTCAGGGCGGCTTACAGAAGAATAAAGACAGCAATAAATAATATCAGTGACCCTAAAAAACCATACTGTCAGGTAGCCCTGTCACAGATCTGGAATGTGGAGGGGTGCCCTCCTCCTCGTTCTGAGCTCTTCCCTGCCCGGCTTCTCATGCTTGACCTTGCTGTCTCCAGCTGCAATTAACGCTGCTGGGAACCTTAACGGCTTTTGGCTTTGCCTGCGCGCACAAACTATAATAATTGGCTTTTGCTCATGGGGGGATGTTTGATTTCACTATAAGTCAGAGGCCCTTATACTGACGGCCATTCCTGACACAATCTGTACACCTGTTCTTTAGTACTGAAATTGCCAATAAACAGTTACCTTCTTCTGAAGCCCTGTGTGGTGTGACCTGATTCAGGAGCCTGGCACATGTAAACAATTTCAGCATCGAAAGGTGCTAACAAATGACGATCCAAGATGGCATTACACAGATGGCAATTTCACATTACATTTGGGATGACGTTCAAACGTCAGTGCCTTCCTAGCGGTCGACTCCGATCTAATATTGTGCGGCTGGCTCTGGAGCCCTCTTTCCTGAGTGAAGGCAAAAATGGGTGAGCTGGAGGCTAAAAAACTGTGAGCTGGCTCAGACGGACTCGGCTTAGAGGGAACACTGGCTCCGTCCTCCGGAAAATTCTGCCCGGCCATCTCACCATTATCAACGCACGTTACATCGCGACAAGTCAGCGGCCCCCAGCCGTTCTGAGCCTCCGGGCAACTTTGGAATCCTGACGCAGCCTGGCTGCCACAGTTTACTTTCAATCACACAGTTCAGTTCCTTGTACTGTTGTGGAAGCTGTGGCGGATTTAGGGCTGGACTGAGCGCCTCAGTCCTCTGCTAAACCTCCCGTTCGTCTACGATACATTAATGTCTATAGCAATTAGCCTCTGTGGCTGAATCCGTGGTTCTGTTTCCCAAGAGGCTTTGGGACTCTGCTAAGTGCTGTGAGCTCACTCCAAAAGGAGATATGTCGAGGATGGGCAAGTGGGCATCAACATGGCAAATAGGCTTCAATGTGGCCAAGGGCAAAGTGATGCACATTGGAGCCAAAAATCCGAACTATAGATATACGTTGATGGGGTCCTGACCAAGAGAGAGATCTTGGAGTCATGGTAGATAAGAAGAGGAGGAGGAGAGATTGGATTTCTACCCTGCCCTTCACTACCCGAGCTCACAATCTCCTTTCCCTTCCCCTCCCCACAACAGACACCCTGTGAGGTAAAAGAAGAAGAGAAGAGATTGGATTTATACCCTGCCCTTCACTACCCAAAAGAGTCTCAGAGTGGCTTAGAAACTCCTTTCCCCTCCCCACAACAGACACCCTGTGAGGTAGGCGGGGCTGAGAGAGCTCTGACAGAAACTGCTCTTTTTCAAGGACAGCTCTTTTCATAACTACGGCTTGCCCAAGGTCATCCAGCCAAATGCGAGTGGAAGAGTGGGGAATCAAACCCGGTTCTCCCAGATTAGAGTCCGCACACTTAACCACTACACCAGACTGGCTCTCAATGAAAATGACTCAATGAAAATGTTGAGACAGTGTGCAACTGCAATAAAAAAAGGTCAATGCTATGCCAGGGATTATTAGGAAGGAAACGGAAAAAAAATCAGCCAGTATCATCATGCCCCTGTATAAATCAATGGTGCGACCTCATTTGGAGTACTGTGTACAGTTCTGGTCACCACACCTCAAAAAGGATATTATAGCCTTGGGAAAAGTGCAGAAAAGGGCAACTAGGATGATAAAAGGGTTGGAATACTTTCCCTATGAACTGTTTGGCCCCTGTATTAGGACAGGAGGCTGGACTAGAGGGACCCTCACTGGTCTGACCCAGCAGGGCTCTTCTGAGGTTCTTATCAGGGGAAGGCCTCGGCCTCTCTGCCCTGTTGCTGGCCCTCCAGAGGAACTGGCTGGCCCCTGTGTGAGACGGGAGGCTGGACTAGAGGGACCCTCCCTGGTCTGACCCAGCAGGGCTCTTCTGAGGTTCTTACCAGGGGAAGGCCTCAGCCTCTCTGCCCTGCTGTTGGCCCTCCAGAGGAACTGGCTGGCCTCTGTGTGAGATGGGATGCTCAACTAGATGGACCCTCACTGGTCTGACCCAGCAGGGCCCTTGTGATGTTCTTACACCAAAATAAACAAGATTCCATTTTCTGTTTCTCTGATCTCTTTTGAGCACAAGGGGATCGGGGATCTCCCAGGAGGAGGCCAAAGGAATGGAAACAGATCCCAGGCGTGGACCCAACAGATCTCTGCCCTTGAACCTCCCCCGCTCAAGGGTGGGAACCAACGCTCCCTCTAACCTGTGGAGTCTTGTGAGCAAAAATTCTGCTTTGCGAGCTACCGGCATTGAAGCTGTGAGCGAACCATTTGGCTGCTGCATCAATTAGTTTGCTCTGGGGCCCTCCTTCCTGACCTATGACCAAACTGTATGAGCCAGAGGCTTAAAAACTGTGAGCTGGCTCACACTAACTCGGCTTAGAGGGAGCACTGGGGGGGAACCTCTGGGGCCACGCGAAGAAGGGGAAGAAGCAGATACCTGTCCTGAAGACGGTCTTCCCGGATTCGATCTCAGTCACCTGAACATTGCCGACCTTCACCCCGTGCAGTACCCAGGCAGGCTTGGAGGAGGCCGTGGCGATTTTGGCCCAGGTTGGCTCATCTCCTCCTGCAGTGGGGATGGTTCCGACGGGCTTAATAACATCTGTAGGACCAAGGGATGGACAGAGAGGCAGAGCCGGTGTTCAGGGTGAGAGCGCTGGCCTAGGATCTGGCTTCAAATCCCGCACCTGCCTGTAGAATGACCACAGGATCGTAGAGTTGGGAGGGTCCCATAGAGGTGATGTAGTCCAACCCCCTGCTCAGTGCAGGATCAGCCTAGAGCATCCCTGACCAACGCTCGTCCAGACGCTGCTCAAAGACTGCCAGGGAGGGGGGAGCTGATTCCACTCTTGCACATCAGGGTGACCTTGTGACACTCCTTCACTCTCAGCTTGCCCTACCTCACAGGGTTGTTGTGAGCAGAGCCAATTATGCTGCTCTGAGCTGGTGGCCACAAATGTATAGTGGGTGGTGAGTGTCTGTCAGGGGTGGGGGGGGTTGCACGGGGGTGTCATGTGGACGTGCCTCGCACAGGCCATCTTTCAGGTCCAGTTCTTGCAACGCAGGAGATTCAGTGGCCGCTCTGTGTTAGGGCTGTACCACTTTAGCTGGGAGGGAGGAACCAAGCATTCTTTGTTCGAAAAATCCCCAGTGGACAGAGAGACCGGGGTCCACGGTGCAGCGGCAGAGCAAGACAGAGACGAGAAATTATTTCTCCATGCCACACCTCATAAAGCTTTGGGGACTCGCTGCCAGCTCAGAGACAGTGCGGTGGAGTGGATAGTGGGGCAGGCCCAGGAACTTGGGCAACCCAGGTCCATATCCCGACCTCTACCCGGGAGCCCGCTGGGTGACCTTGGGCCCATCACAAACTCTCCACCTGGCCAACCTCACAGGATTGGGTTTTTTAAAAAAAACATATTTTATTAAATTTTCCAAACAATATAAAATGAAACAATATATCAAAGTCCAGAATATAGTACACAGCCTGTAAGGATACAGGTGAAACAAAGCAGCGTGTCGAATGCATACAAAAAGTTACGATATGATAACAATAATTATTAGCGTGATAAACAGGATGGTTTTTGTGAGAAAGTGGAGGTGGGGGAGAAACAAGTTCTAACCTGCTTTGAGTCCCATCTGGGGTGAAAAACAGGATATAAATAAAAGAATGAGGACGAGGAAGAGGAAGAGGAGGTTGGATTTATACCCCGCCCTTCACTACCCCACAACAGGCACCCTGTGAAGCAGGTGGGGCTGAGAGAGCTCCTGACAGAAACGGCTCTTTTTCAAGAACAGCTCTTATCAGCACTACGGCTTGCCCAAGGCCATCCAGCCAGGTGAAAGTGGAGGAGTGGGGAATCAAACCCGGTTCTCCCAGATTAGAGTCCGCGCACTTAACCACCACACCAAACCTATATGTATGGACTGGTAACTTCCACTTCAATGTATCTGAAGAAGTGTGCACATGCACAAGAAAGCTTATACCTTGAATAATTCAACTTTGTTGGTCTTATAGATGCCACTGGACTCAAACTTTGTTCTGCTGCTTCAAACCAACATTTATTTATTTATATTTATAGATTCAATTTATACCCCGCCCTCCCCGCTATGTGGGCTCAAGGCGGCCCACCTGGATCTATTAAAAGAATAGTCATCAGGGTATGACACTGTGTGCGTGCGAGGGAGCTATTCTCTCTTTGTCCTCTTGGTAGGCCTGGTTAAACACTGTGGGGCAGTGTTCCCTCTAAGCTGAGTTAATGTGAGCTACCTCACAGTTTATTAGCCTCCGGCTCACACAGTTTTGTCTCCGCTCAGGAAGGGATGGCTCCAGAGCAAACTCATGAATGCAGCAGCCAAATCGCTCGCTCACAACTTTAATGCCCAGTAGCTCACAAAGTAGAATCTTTGCTCACAAGACTCCATAGCTTAGAATGAGCACTGCTGTGGGGCGCTGGACTAAACAGAGCCTGGGTCCGACCCAGATCCGGTCAACTTATGCTCTTGATTATTATTTTTTTTAAAGGCTTTCAATTTCCGTTACCCGGCCTGAGTCTCTGGGGCAGGGTGGGCTACAGGCAGTAAAGGTAAAGGTCTCCCTTGCTCGAAAGCCAGTCGAGTCCATCTCCGTTTCAAAGCCGAAGAGCCAGCGCTGTCCGAAGACGTTTCTGTGGTCATGTGGCCGGCATGACTAAACACCAAGGCGCACGGAACGCTGTTCCCTTCCCACCGAAGTGGTACCTATTTATCTACTTGCAATTTCTTGCTTTCGAACTGCTAGGATGGCAGTTGCTGGACCTAGAGACGGGAGCTCACTCCGTCATGCGGCACCCGAGTCTCGAACTGCCGAACTACGACCTTCCACAGCCTGCAGTTCAGCGTCTCAACCACTTGAGCCACCGCAGCTCCTGGGCTACAGGCAGACACCCACCCAAACCTCCTGCCACCTCTGCGGCCACTCACCCGTCTCGTCCTGATCAATGTGCCAAACCTGCAGGGAACTGTCTGGCGGGCCACTGGTCACCAGCAAGCTGCGGGGGCAAACGGAGAGAAGACAAAGTCCGGAAAGGAGGAAAGTAGCCAATCTCCTTTTCCTCGCTAATTACGACTCCGTGTCTCTGCAGGAGTTTCATGCCAGAAGCGCTCCCGGGTTCTGGGTGGCCGGTCCTCCGTGACCGACGACGTATCTCTGGCTATTCTAGCAATGCAAGTCTTTCTTTCGTTGTTTTTCCATTTCCACCAAAAGATTATTATTAGCGGCGCCTTTCCTTGAGCTGTCTGGAGAGGCGGGATACACCAAATAAATTCTGTGATCCTTTTTAAAAATTACAAGCAGAGGACCTGCAAGGACTGTCTCATCTCCCCCTCCCCGTTTCTACTTTCTCTTCCCTGGCAGCCCCCAAAGCCTGTCTCCTTCTCCACTCCTTTTCAGAAATTACAAGCAGGGGACCTGCAAGGACTTGCATCAATTATCTCATTTCCCCCTCCCCGTTTCTACTTTCTCTTCCCTGGCAGCCCCCAAAGCCTGTCTCCTTCTCCACTCCTTTTCAGAAATTACAAGCTGGGGACCCGCAAGGACTTGCATGAATTATCTCATTTCCCCCTCCCCGTTTCCTCTTTCTCTTCCCTGGCAGCCCCCAAAGCCTCTCTCCTTCTCCACTCCTTTTCAGAAATTACAAGCTGGGGACCCGCGAGGACTTGCATGGGTTATCTCATTTCCCCCTCCCCATTTCCTCTTTCTCTTCCCTGGCAGCCCCCAAAGCCTCTCTCCTTCCCCACTCCTTTTCAGAAATTACAAGCAGGGGACCCGCAAGGACTTGCATGAATTATCTCATTTCCCCCTCCCCGTTTCCTCTTTCTCTTCCCTGGCAGCCCCCAAAGCCTCTCTCCTTCTCCACTCCTTTTCAGAAATTACAAGCAGGGGACCCGCAAGGACTTGCATGAATTATCTCATTTCCCCCTCCCCACTTCCTCTTCCTCTTCCCGGCAGCCCCCGTAGTCTCTCTCCTCCTGCCTCCTTCTTTCCTTCCCTTCCACCGGCCAACTTAAATTATCTGCCCCCCTCCACCCGTCTACAGCTTTCCCTCCTTCCCTCCCCCTGGAAGCCTCCTTCCCAGGAAAACACTGCCTGAGTTGCGCAGGGCCGTCAAATGAGGATTTTTCTGCAAACCTGAGGCTTTTCTCAGGTTTGGGGAAAGATCTGTTCTCTTTCGCTCCCCCCCCCCCAATCTTCTTTTCTCAAACCAGAGCAGACAGGGCTTCCAAGCGGCCTACCTGGTCTCCGGGACGTGCTTCAGGCTGTAGACTGGGCGGTCTGAGAATCCCCCTTGCTCAACCTTAAAATCTCTTTCTGGACACAATCCCTGCGAAAGCCAAGGAGCCCTGTGAAAGATGCTGGGCTGGGCAAGAGGGGAAGAAGCCGCCCCTGCCCCCGGCCCACCAGATCAGCAAACACCCGAAGAGGCACCCAGAGAGCTGCAGTTTCCGTAGCGGCCCCTGGCCCCCTTTACCTGGTTCTCCTTCGCAGCCAGCCGGGGCGGCAACAGCAGCTGGAGAATCTCATTCCGCCTTCCGTCGCCGTACCCTGCGATGCAGACCCCTAGAAGCGGAACCACAAACAAGGCTCGGAATTCAAGATCTGGGGATCGAGAGAGGCCACGCAGCCAGAACGTGCGGCCGAGGACCTCCCCGTGCCACCATTCGCATCCTTTCTTTACGCTCCCCCACCCCTTTCCCTCGAAACACACACGGTTCTGGTCCTCCTTCGTCTCAGACTGCATAGTCAAGTTAGCATAGTCCTGAGCTTGTGGGCACTCCATGAAACTGCAGAGCGGTCGGGTTAGAACGTATAAAAGGAAGTCCTTCTTCACCCAAAGAGTGATTAACACTTGGAATTCACTGCCACAGGAGGTGGTGGCGGCTACAAGCATGGACGGCTTCAAAAGGGAATTAGATAAGCATATGGAGCAGAGGTCCATCCGTGGCTATTAGCCACAAGGTATAGATAGGGACTCTGGGGCAAGGGATGCTCTGTCTTCTTGGTGCTTGGGGGGGGAGGGTCAACAGTGGGAGGGCTTCTAATGTCCTGGCCCCACTGGTGGACCTCCTGATGGCACTGGTATTTCTGGCCACTGTGTGACACAGAGTGTTGGACTGGATGGGCCTTTGGGTCGGTTTGTCTTTCACATCTCCTATTACTGGACACTTTTTCTCTGGAGGTGCCGGGGATTGAGCCGGGGACCTATTGCACGCAAAGCAAAGGCTCTTCCACTGAGCCAATGGCCGCCCAGCCTAGGGGGACACGAGCCCCCACAGAAGGCAGGCCACTTACTTTTTTCTCCTGTCCACGCGATGACACGGGTAGGCTCGTGAAGCTCAAAGACGTGGAGGTCGTTGTACCTAAACGAGACAAGCAGTGCCTGTAAGAGCCGATCGGGTAGAGCTCTCTCTTTCAGATGCGAAGAAGAAGAAGAAGAGATTGGATTTATACCCCGCCCTTCACTACCCGAAGGTGTCTCAGAGCGGCTTCCAATCTCCTTTCCCTTCCCCTCCCCTCCCCACAACAGACACCCTGCGAGGGAGGTGGAGCTGAGGACGGAAACGGAGCTCTTGACGGAAACGGCTATTTTTCAAGGACAGCTCTGAGAGAACTTGTGACTAGCCCAAGGTCACCCAGCCAGGTGCAAGTGGAGGAGTGGGGAATCAAACCCGGTTCTCCCAGATTAGGTTTACAAACTCCTTTCCCTTCCCCTCCCCACAACAGACACCCTGCAAGGGAGGTGGGACTGAGAGAGCTCTTGACAGAAACTGCTCTTTTGTCAAGGGCAGCTCTTGACAGAACTATGGCTTGCCCAAGGTCATCCAGCAGGTGCAAGTGGAGGAGTGGGGAATCAAACTTGGGAGTCCACCAAGGAAGTCCAGGGTCGCTAGGCAGAAGCAGGCAACGGCAGACCCCCTCTGCACGTGTCTCACTTTGAAATCCCTCCAGGGCCACCGGCTGGCTCCCTTTACTACCATGGTTCCCTCTAAGCTGAGTGAGTGTGAGCCAGCTCACAGTTCTGTAGCCTCAGGCGCATACATTTTTTGCCTTCGCTCAGGAGGGGTGGCTCCAGAGCAAACTAACGGATGCAGCGGCCAAATCGCTCGCTCACAGCTTCAGTGCCAGTCGCTCACAAAGTAGAATTTTTGCTCACAAGAGCCTATGGCTTAGAGGGAGCATTGGAGGCCACCCAGGAACCCCAGGGTTGCTACGCAGAGGCAGGGGATGGCAAACCACCTCTGCGTGTCTTTTCCCCTGACCTGCATGGCCCCAGCTGGCTCCGTCTCACCAGATCTTGGAAGCCAAGCAGGGTTGGGCCCTGATTCGTACCTGGGCAGCGTTCCCTCTAAGCTGAGTGCGTGTGAGCCAGCTCACCGTTTTGTAGCCTCCGGCTCACACATTTTTGTCCCAGCCCAGGAAGGGATGGCTCCAGACAGAGCAAACTAATCGATGCAGGAGGACCAAATCGCCCACCTACGACTTTCATGCCAGCAGCTCACCAAGGAGAATTTCTGCTCAGGAGACACCACAGTCTAGAGGGAGCTTTGCTCGGGAGGGTGGGCTGTCTCTTTCATGCCAGGCGCTCACCGAGTAGAATTTTTGCTCACAGGACTCCAGAGCTTAGAGGGAGCTTTGCTTGGGAGGGTGGGCTGCCACTTTCATGCCAGGCGCTCACCGAGTAGAATTTCTGCTCACAGGACTCCAGAGCTTAGAGGGAGCTTTGCTTGGGAGGGTGGGCTGCCACTTTCATGCCAGGCGCTCACCGAGTAGAATTTTTGCTCACAGGACTCCAGAGCTTAGAGGGAGCTTTGCTTGGGAGGGTGGGCTGCCACTTTCATGCCAGGCGCTCACCAAGTAGAAT